ACACCCTCACCGATTTTAACATGGCTAAAGAAAGACAATTCCTCGTTTGCTAGCTCGTCTGATAAGTCCATTGATCTCCTTTATTTGGTATATTAATGAGTCTCTAACAAAGACATCTAAAACCACTATACGCCACAATTATGTTTATGCATTAACGTTGTGTTGTTGTTGTTGTTGTTGTTGTTGGGTGGTTTTTTTGGCCTTTCATGCGTTCAATTACAAAGTTTGCGGTCAGAAAGTTCAGGGAGTGTGGTGCTTTTAATCGTGTTGTGTGTGGTAAAATTGTTCATAAGGCGCCATCTTGTGTTCGTGGTAATCTATACTGAGCAAATTAGAACATCAGGTGAAACACATTTGGTCGTTTTAGAATATGGTTCAATACGTTGTTGTTGTATAGTAGATACACGATCACACGCCGAAAGAGGGCGTTATCACAACTAACCGCTGTCACCTGATCGAACTCACGCAGCTTGTCGACGATGGTTGGACAGTCTAGACTGGTCGACTATTCAGGACCAGCCCATCGCTAGAATTTTGTCGTAGTGTGGTAAAGTAATATAAACCAAACGGAAGAACGAAACTGTGAGTGCTGAATGGAGTAATTGCAGAATAGTGGCGGGGTATTCTGCAATTGTGCCTGCTGAATTTAATTTTCATTGCATAGTTTTTTCATGTTGGTTTACGATTCTGTCGCTTTTGTCACCATTGTACAATAATAATGGCGATTATGCAAGGTGTCCTAAAGTCTACAATATCACAGTCATTTGTATAAAAACAACCCAGAAACATCAAGTGTTGAAAAATTCTTCAGCCGATGCGCGACCGCCATTTTCTCACGGTCGTTGACATTATTAAGTCCACCCTCATGTCCTCGTCACACGCGTGGAAGACGAGCAACGGCCCAAGCAGGGGATTGCTTGGTAGGATGAAGCACGGTGCTGCCGGGCCTGTACCTTTTAACCACCTCATGAGCCGTGAAGGTCTACTCCGAACCCTCTGACAGCCAGCCAACTAGGCTCTGGTGATGAGGCGCGGGGCCGCAGCCGTGACAACGCTGACGAAGCGGATGAGGTCGTAACACGGCCTATCGGTCTGTCAGACACAACGTGAGAGGCGCTCTGACTTAACAGCAGCGACCCTCGTTTATAGTGCACTCTACGTCTCCCCTGTCCCAACTTCCAAGGAGGCAGAGCACCAAGGGGCATCACCCAAACCAACGATGAAATTGCACAAAAGTAAACACCCGGGGTTAACATCCCTGCTTACCCCGGCCCCGTACAAGGAACAACATCACAACATGCCCCGTCTGGCCGTGATTCAATGCATGACGTCTGACACCTCAAGCTCCGCAGGGGAGGGTGCCAGACCGACAGTGGGCTCCAAATCGGGGCCAAAGCTGGAGCTAAGATCATGTCGCCGTGTCGCTACCTGGAACGTTTTCACACTGAAGCTCGTATCCCAGGAAGTGGAGGACGCCTTTTCGACCAGTACATGATGTATCACTCAGGTGGTACAGGCTACACGGAGGGAGTCGCCTTGCTCCTCAACAAAAATTAGTCAGCTAATCCCTTGTACAATGGGCACTGGTCTCTAACCGGATCATTCATCAAGTTGCGTTGTAGACATCGATACATCATCATTATCGTGGTCTACGCACCGAACGAGTTAGCCTCTGCCGCCGACAAGGATGGCTTCTACAATCAACTAGAACCACTCATTCATTATATAGCGACGCCCTGCCCAGACCTCACTTCACAGGCATCAGCTGCGCAGTCCCTGGTGCGGATGTCTCCTCGGACGCGGCCTACCCTGGCTGAGGTACGTCGCGCTTTCAGGAAGCTTAAGAACGGACGAGCTGCAAGGCCTGATGGCATTCCTCCTGAGCTGCTCAAGTGTGCAGTGGTCCCAATTAGTGTGGCCCTCCACGAACTCTTTCTCAAAGTCCGGTCCTCAGACAGGGTTCCTGCTGAATGGAGGGACGGCGTCATCATCTCCCTATACAAAAGAAAAGGTCAACGAAATCAGTGCAGCAGTTACATGCCCATCACCCTGCTGTCAATCCCCGGAAAGGTATTCATCAGCCACGTTCTACAATCTCGCCTAGAAGCTAGAGCCCCGACTCACCCGTCACCGCCGCCCCCAGCAATTTGGCGTCACGAGAGGCCGGTCAACATGAATGCGGTGCTTGCCCTCCGACTCCGGTCCTGTCAGAACGTAACCGCGAGTTTGAGATACCTCTCTATGTTGCTTACGTTGAAACCAAGGCAGCTTTCGACTCAGTAGACTGGGAAACTCTAAGGAAGGCCCTGAAAGCAACCGGGGTCCCGCCATTCCTGCTTCACCTGATTCAGGACGTGCACGAGGGCAGTACATCCACCGTGCGCGTCGGAGACGACATCTCCACTCCTTCCCCACCACCTCAGGTGTCAGTCAGGGCTGCATCCTGCATTTGACTTTGATTGTAACCCTCGGTGCAAAGAGGAACTTATTTTGGGTCGCTTCCGGCACAAACAAAATGCGCCCTACGGGTATAATAATATAGACCAGTTCTCGGTCCCCACATTATTGACTATGCCCTGCCAGAACTGAATGATTTGTTATTGGCGGGAAGTAAGAAATTCGAATTTTGTAAGGTATTCCATATTACTAAACGTGGGCTGCATTTTTGTTTTGGTCGAGGTCTTATTCAAAAGTGACTTATTTTATTTGATAAGCAGCATTCATATATTTCCGGCGTGAAATTGGAAAATATAGCAGGGACCGGGACAGTTTAAACACCTTAAAGCGTGTCGCTCAAAATTACATCTTTCTCGTTATTGTTTCTCGTTATGGACGAATCCAGGCATGTGATCACTGTATACACACATGAGTCACCCTTCATCAGTGGAGACCATTGCGCAAGGTATGGGTGCGTTCGATTAGCTCACCCGGGTCGACTCGGGTAAAGGCAGACGGGTTAGCCATGAAAACCGTGTTAATCGAACGCTTAATAGCGAGCCATCACGATCCTCACGTGATGTCCGTAGCCATTGACATTTTCGGACTGAGTCTTTGAGATCACTGCTTTTCCGTCAACTCGCAAAAAAATAATAACGTCGGGCTGGAACAGGCCCCTATAGCCACTTAAAGTGGCAATGAAACTTTATTGACTAAAATGTGTTGTTAAACATAATTATTTATTTAGACTTTAAGTAAAGTTGATTTTGGGGTCCACGTGATCTTTCCGCTGTATGGCCGCCATATCTGTCCGTTTCTTGGAATAAACAACACATGCGCGTACGTATTTCCACCACTGATTCTGCAGCTGCTCCACGAGCACTGTGGTGGCTGACGCAGGTGAGCCTAGCCTTTAGTCAAGGCTCACGCGTCTTGATCCGGACATGTGACGCGCCCCGGATGCTGGCACGTAAAAGACTACCCCGCTGGATAGTCTTTTTACGTGCCAGCATCCGGGGCGCGTCACGTGTCCGGGTAAAGACGCGTGGGCCTTGACTAAAGGCTAAAGTGAGCCCTGAGAATGACGCCAGAGCCAATCGAAAGGCATGGGACTAACCCCAGTCGATCCGGGTGAGCCTCTCGAACGCACTCTATGGTACACAAAGCACCTTCCCTGGTGACGGATTCTTCTGAACAATAGCAAGCGCAATGCGTTCGCCATTGAAGGGGGCCTTCCTGGTAGAATTGGCAGGGTGCCCAAATAGGTCTGAACACAGCTGGTCAATTTATACACTACCAACCCTGAGGGGTTGGCAAATATGTTTATGGGTCCCTTTAAAAATAATTGAAGAGTGGTGTCGGACCCAGGAAACTGTAGCTAAATTGGATTTCTTGCTCATGCTCACGATACATTGTTTAAAAAGTTGGCCCCTAGCAGTTTGCCAGCATAATCGCTCCCTCTGCACTCAAGATCGACAAACACTTCTACAATGTTCAGCTTGAATCATCGTTTGAATTGAAATGTTCTTCCGCCACCATTATGGTATATGAACATTTGCCTTCAACGACTGCGCACCTGTTTGGCAAAGGCTCAACGTTTCATGTTGATGTCGACTGAGGGGATCGGGCCATATGTTTCCTGTTTCTTCCCTCAACAAAATGTTGACTTGGTTTCGCGGCAGTGAATCAGTGCATTTGTGTGTTTCCGGAAGTTTGAGAAACCCAGGAAAAATAAAGTCCCTTGTACCGGTATTTCTTAGATATCTTTCGAGTGATTAGGGGAGCAACCCGGTGGAAAACTCTCATTTTGCTGGCTGATATGAGTGTATTCCATCTAACTTTGGTTTTTAAAGACAGTACTGAAGCCACCCTCAGCAACAGATGATTATAAATAAATAAGGTAATAATATAAAGCTCGTTGGTCGAGTGGTAAGACATCTGCACCAGAAAGCAGGAGGTCGTGGGTTCGAGTCCCACCCGAGTGATTTTTTCCCAACTTTCACTCGGGAGGTAACGCACTGAGTATACAGTGTTTATACGTCGGTGAAGGGCAAAACCCTATTTGATAAATAGTGATGGTAAGTCATTAACTCAGTTTAATCATAAGTCAATGTAATCATAACCAAAACACCAGTCAAGCTCATTTTAAAAAAAAAACTAAAAGCAAAAGCTCGCTTTTGGAGAATTATTTCAATGCCTGTAATACACGCTTCATTAGCCTTCAAGTATAGTTGAAGCGAAATTGTAGACCTTTTGAGCAAACAGGACAAAACTCACTCGCATTAAAATGCTTTATAATGATTTGTGAACTTTTCAATAATGTTCTCCTGCCCTTCATATAGGCATGCCGTGGAAGCACGTGATGCTCAATGAAAACCTGTGATTGGATGAAACCTGGAGCAAGGGGCCTGTCACTTGTAGAGAGCTGAATGACAAAGAAACATTCACTGTCCCATATAATCAGTACCAGTGCGCAGTATAAGACTGTAAGTCGTGTCAGTACGATGAGATTTCATTGGTTGGTTGTCAGGGCAGTTGTGGTATTTCTGTTGAATGATGTCATTTTCTGATATTGCCATTGGTCGGTTGTACTTATACAAGCCCGGAGTTTGGTCCCCGAATTCAGTTGGTTCTGTGGAAATCAACTTGATACCAAGTCCTAGATTCGATCGTCTGTTGCGTCACACTAGTGATCACATTCAGCAGAGCGGTCACCGTTTTGAAAAACTGCAGTTACTTGTCAGAGGTCTGAACAGTTTCAGTGCAGTATTGAATGACAAGTCGGAATGGCATCACAGGTAAGTTTATAAAATTGGAAATTTACAAGCAGTAGGCCTATAGCATGAGAAATAACTTACACACTAGGATGCAGAAACTTTGTGATTTTCTAGACAGTTTATCCTGTGGTAGACATCATGTAAATTGACGCATCAGCCGTGCTGAACGCCTGCTCATTTTAATAATGAGCAACTTTTGCTCTGGAAAATCGCTAGAAGTGATTTTAGTTCTATTAAGCGTCACAAACGGAAAAAGGGGAGCAGATTTTCTGTAGCTAGGCCTAACCTTCCACGTTAACGTATATGAAATATTTATGACATGGTATTCTTCTTGTTACAGGTGATGGTGAGATTTGTCGCTTTATTTCTGTCCGCGTTTCTGCTATTGTGGGCCGTCTATCGTCCCTGCCTTGCACAACCCAGCGATTCCGAGACGTCAGCGGCATGTCCTAAAGGATCGTGTTGCAGCGCTTGCTTCCAGGGTCCCGCGGGACCAGCTGGCTCGGCTGGGATTCCAGGTGTGCCCGGAAATCACGGCCTCCATGGGTCAAGAGGTCAAAAGGGTGAGCCTGGCTCGGATCTTCCTGGACCCAAGGGAGACATGGGTGATCACGGTCAGAAGGGGGAGCAAGGAGAGCCGGGGGTTCAGGGACTCGTTGGTCAGCCAGGGAAGCTTGGGCCGGCAGGTCCTAGCGGAGAGAAGGGGGAGAATGGAGGAAAGGGTCAGCCTGGCTTGGGTCTCCCTGGACCCAAAGGAGATATGGGTGATCGCGGTCTGAAGGGGGAGCTGGGAGACGCCACCTATCTGACGCCCCCTATCGTCGCTTTCAGCGCCTTCTTAAACACTCATTTTACAGGAAATCACGGAGATGTCATCATCTTCGACAGGGTCAAGACGAACATCGGAGGCGCGTACGATCCGGAGACCGGAGTATTCACATGCAACTTAGCAGGTGTGTACTTCTTCAGCGTGTCCATTTTGGGCCGTCCATCAGCAGGACCCCGGCCGAATCTTAGGTTGGTTATGAACGATGAAGACATTTTATATGTCCTAGATGGCCATCCGGGCTTTTACCACCAGTCCACAAATTCAGTGGTCCTGGTTATGGCCAGCGGGGATACGGTTCGCCTATTCAATCGGAGCGGTAGTGGAACAAGTATCACTGGCTATAAGGATTCTTGCTTCTCCGGATATCTGATCCAAGCGATGTAACCAACTCACAGCAACACATAGTACATCCAACACAGCAGACTCCATCACTTTATTCAGATGAGTTAATTTGATTTAGCTAGCTAGGGTATTCGTGTTATCGTGGGACAATCGTGTCAGATATTTTGTCGAATGGTTATAGACTTGGCTCAAGTCGGTATCCATAACACCCACTCCATCAAAACCAGTCCTGAATTTCTTCACTTTGTGAACATCGTTCCCGAAGCGAAATAAGTGCCATCCGTGCCACTTCAGTGCCGTAAAATAATGCGCGTACATACTGAATGTGTGTATGTACAGGGATTTCGCGCTTTTGCATTTAAATATGAGAAGCTTAGCCAAAAATATTGATAATTTGAAAGTTCTTCTCCACTCTTTAAAGCATAATTTTCTGTTATTGGCTTGATTGAGATCAGCAGGCTAAATGCAAATTCCTGTATGAATTAATAATGAAGATACGTACTTGTGTATGAAGAACAGAGACCGAGGTAGAGTTGGTGGTGGTGTTGCTTTTATATTATTATATCTACTTTATCTTCAATACATGTAATTATGTTCCAAGGCCAGACCTAAATGCAATATAGGTGACAATATTCTCTTTAATGTATTTTTTGCCGAAATCATATGAACATTTTCATTGGGGTCATAATATAAAGCACCTGATGCTATAAAACAAAATGACAAAATTCATCACCATTTTACATGACAGTTGAGTGAATTTCATCGTTCCTTTGCACGCACCAAGCTTGCTACAAAAACAGTTAAGTATGAGGGTCCTAAGCTGTGGAACTCATTGGCAACGCCCTTAAAAAAAAGCACGCAAAAAAAGACATTTTTATTGAATAATTATTTGGAAACAGATTAAGTCTCACGGGGTTACAGGTTACAGGTTTGGTTTATGTGCAGTAAAATACTAGTACTTTTACCTTATGAATGCTTGCTATTTAACCTCTGTGAACAATTTCGGTTTCATAAAATTTAATCGGAAATTCAAAAACGGTGGCGTCCGGAAAATGGGCACAAATTGGCCGAGTGTTCCCCAACGTGGTGCACTTAAATAATCTCGGAAAATATCCAAATTAACATTCAAGAATTTCTGTGAACTTGATAAATTCTGATAAATCATTATTATCTCTACTTACATACCCGAGCCAGATGTTTGTCAGAAAATTATTTTCTTATTTCATTAAAAGGTTGAGCAATGTTTGATTAATAATTCTAATGAGCCTGAGTTATTGGTTTAGATTTGATTAATAGTTCATCTATATTCTTTAACTATACCTTATTTTACTAATGTGCTCAGAGCATGATGTGGCTTGAAAATAATTGACCGGAAAAAAAATCAACATTTGCGCTTTTTAGGAAACATGTCTATACTAGTCTTTGCATGTCGATGCATAATGGTTTTTATACAGAGCCTAAGGAAAATTATTGTCGTGGAAAGCTTTGATTGCTTAAATGTTATATCTGCATGTACAACAAATAAAGGTTTGCCATGGAATGGAAAAGTATATTGTGTTGGCCTATAGTCACTCAGATTGAAGAAACTGAACGCTGGCTCGGCTCCGATCATGACACGAGAGGTGAATCTCCCATGACATGAACCTAGAGCGCAGGGTATTCCAAGCCACTACTTTACGAGCAACTTGGTCTAGTTCGTTATATCAATTGTTATAAACAAAATAATGGTGATACAGTTTTTTCCTCCGTATTATTAATTAATGGCAGGACATGTACGAGATCTCCTCTATTATAGTTTGAGCTGCTGACCTGTTCAATAAACTAAATGATATGCACAGGTTTTTTTTTCTGCCACTAAGCGAATGGCAACTGAACGAGTCCGTCTGACCACTGATTATTTTAAACAGCTGATGTTTCGGGCCCCTGCATATGTACAGTATACCCTACTTATGATTATGGTGTCCATGGGCGTTGCCAGGATTTTTTTGGGGGGGATAGCAAATATTCCCCCCAAATCCTAGTACTTTTTATCATATTCTCAATTTATCATTTTAGGAGGGTGGGCGCGGGACATATGCCCTGCCCACACCCCATTGACACCCCTGCAGGTGCCCATTTTGTTTAATGTGAATTAACTTAATAGCAAATATGACTTCACAACTCTTTTTCCTTTTTTTTTTTTTTTGCTTTCCCAGGGAGGCCGGGGCAGGGACAACGGCGCCCCCTAACCCCCCCCCCCCCCCCCCCCCCCCCCCCCCCCCCCCCCCACCGCGACGCCCATGACGGTCATTTTCTTGTAATGGTGTAGTTTGGGACCCTGTTCCCCATATAAGAAATCTTTTCATTTTATGTTTGGAACTTAAGAAGTTGATACCTAAACATTTGGATATGATTACAAGCAGAAAAACTCACTTAATGTGTTTGGAATCACCTAAATAGTTTGCTGAGATGCCATGTTGAATATCAGCTAGCTTAAAGGGAATATACATCATTTGCTTTTGCTGTAATTTTCATAAATGGATGGAATTGGGGGGTTGGAAATATATAGCAAATATAGTTACACTGACTTTTGTGAGGTTTTGTGTTTGAAAATGCTATAAAAACCAAGAAAAACGATCATTTTCCTGTAGTCTGGTTCCCTGACTCCATATAAGAAGAAACAGAGCCTTTAAAATACATTGGGGAATTGTAAGGTCAGGGAACCAGTCTAGCTGGCTCGTACCCGTTCATAGGTTTGTAATCGATTGCAAACAAGTGTGATGGTCAATTGGGGCCAGTATTTGAAAAAAAGCCAGTTGTTTCCAACGCTGATCGGCCGATCAGCGATACAAAAATACCACTTTTCTTGAAAATGACAGTATACCAGGTGCCATGATTTTACAGGATGCTTTACACTGTCATTCACTAACAGTCCAGCAAGGTATTTCAAAATGATTTGGTAGTTTTATTTTTTGATGTTTGCAAATGTTGTATTTTCCCTTTAACTTTGTGGGAAGAGGCCCCGGGCCGGATCCCCGGAAGCGGGTTTCGATTTATGAAGAGAAGTTGTAAAATTTAAAAGGTGACCTAAACTACACGATTACCATTTTCTCTATTCGGTATCTCCTGTCAACTATTTATAAAAATTCCCAACACGCTTCCATCATAAATAATAATTCGATGCCAGATACCGCACGCACGTTAATTACATAACAATCATGTTTTGTCCCAACACATGATAGAGGGCGCTGTGTTGTCTGAAGTTTTAGTTTTAGAGGGCGTCCTATAATAACGTGGCACATGCACCGCATGACATACATGACATACACCAGTCGACGTCGAGGACCAACGCAACGTTTTCGACCTTGATATTCTTCTAAAACTCTAGACTCTAGGAGCTACAAAAATGACAACAAACGGTAAGCATGGTAAGACATTGCAGGCCTACAAAGTTTGATAAGTTGTAACGTTGTCGTTACGTTAGTCAGTACAGTAGTTTGGAAAGATTCGCGTGCAGCATTACCTGCACGTGATGGGGGTCAGACAAGCATGACAAGTCGACCGTTGAGACAACTCGACTCGGGACAAGTCGACCGTTGAGACAACTCGACTCGGGACAAGTCGACCGTTGAGACAACTCGACCGTTGAGACAACTCGACCGTATGTGCGATAAATGGAAAGACAAGTCGACCGTTGAGACAAGCCGCCGCGCATGTTTTGGGCCAAGTTTCGGGGATAGTACCGGTACGGGGATTTTGACGGCGGCTGATCGCCGTTTGGAAGTGAGGTACAACTATAGAATGCAGGGCCACTTTACGGTAATCCTTACTTTTAGGACCCCGTTCCTATATAGGAAGGGAAAGACTCACCAAAACAGCTGACTAAATGACACTCAAAATTGACATTCTGATACTTCTTGGCACATCTGAACAATTGGCGGAGCAACTATAGAATGCAGGGCCACGCCGAAGCAAGGTTTTTTATTTTGCCTGGAGGCGTGGATGGAATAGGAGTAATAGATATGCAAACCTGCAAAAAAGTGCTAAGTACAGCGAAGGAATGCACTGCACTTGTCTTCTAAGCTTCTCATGAAGGATCGGAAGGGAGGGCGTGCTTGTAAATGTTTTGGGGGCACTGTCTGGAGCGGCGGAGGCGCGGAGTCTTGGAGTCGCAGAATCGCGGAGACGCGGGGCACTGGAGTGGCTAGTGGCGGAGGCGCGGAGTCGCGGAGTCGAGTCGCAGAGACTCGCGCCGATAGAGGGCGCAATTCTCGGCGGAATTTTTTTGAGAACGAAGCATCCATATCCATTTTAAATGGGCGGGCCAATTAGGAAGGGAGGAGGGCGACAGGGCACTGTCTGGAGCGGCGGAGGCGCGGAGTCTTGGAGTCGCAGAATCGCTTTAAATGGGCGGGCCAATTAGGAAGGGAGGAGGGCGACGGGGCACTGTCTGGAGCGGCGGAGGCGCGGAGTCTTGGAGTCGCAGAATCGCGGGGCACTATACACTGGAGTGTTAGTGGCGGAGGCGCGGAGTCGCGGAGTCGCAGAGACGCGCACCGATAGAGGGCGCAATTCTCTGCATGACGCGGGGCACTATACACTGGTGGCGGAGGCGCGGAGTCGCGGAGTCGCAGAGACACGCACCGATAGAGGGCGCAATTCTCTGCGTGACGCGGGGCACTATACACTGGTGGCGGAGGCGCGGAGTCGCGGAGTCGGAGAGACACGCACCGATAGAGGGCGCAATTCTCTGCGGCTCCACGACTCCACGATCGATTTTCGGAGGTAGGTCGACTGCGGTTCCACGCCTCCACGCAGCCGTACGGAGGCGCGGATGTAGAGTGAAGTGGCCCTGCATTCTATAGTTGTACCCAATTGGCAATGACACCTTCTTGAATATCAGCAGGATTAATTTTGTGGAAAGAGGGCAGGGCTTTGAATTTGATTTATGAGGGAAATTCAGGGGGAAAAGACGACAATGACAACCAGAAAACAGACTCAAAAACCAAGATGGCAAATGTGAAAGCTCGATGCGATGAAAGCTAGATGCTGATTGGCTGATAAAAAATAAACATCTTATTTATTTCTAGTCTGGTTCACAGACCAAAAGATTCAGGAATAGTCAGAATCTTTTGGTCTGAGAACCAGACTAACTTATTTATTCTTAGTCTGGTTTCCAGACCAAAAGATCCTGGAGTAGTCAGAATCTTTTGGTCTGGGAACCAGAATAATTAATTTTTTTAGCAGCCAATCAGCATCGGGCTTTCATTATGTAGGGCTTTCACGCGTGTGAGAACTAGAACATGCACGTCTGACTGCGAAAAAAGGTAGAAAAGTCCCATTTTCTTCGAAAGTGCTTTCAAAACTACAACTAACATGAGTTTATATGAAGAAAAAAGACTGCTTTAGCCTGCAAAAGTCACTTTGGTACTGTCGGTTTTGAACAGAACTTGTAAAAAATAGAGGTGTCCTAAAAGTAAGGATTACCCACTTTACTCTACATCCGCGCCTCCGATGGCTGCGTGGAGGCGTGGAGCCGCAGTCGACCTACTAAAATTGATCGTGGAGTCGTACTATCATACGTGGAGCCGCAGTCGATATCTCCGAGAATTGCGCCCTCTATCGGTGCGCATCTCTGCGACTCCACGACTCCGCGCCTCCGCCACTCCAGACAGTGCCCTGTCGCCCTCCTCCCTTCCTAATTTGCGAGCCCATTTAAAATGGATACGAGAATTGCGCCCTCTATCGGTGCGCGTCTCTGCGACTCCGCGCCTCCGCCACTCCACGACTCCGATCCGTACCGTGCCCCCAACACATTTACAAGCACGCCCTCCCTTCCGATCCTTCATGTAGCAATGTTAGAGGTACCGCGATATTGACATTTCCTATTCTGGTGACACACAAAACTGAAGTTTTTCAAATGAATGTTACTGTGTCCCATCAAGCTATTTCAGCTTCAAATCACTCCTACATGTCGACAAATATGTCTTCTTTTACAATATGGCAATAGATCGGGAAAAGCATACCTCAATTTGTCCAAAACCAGAAGTTTCAGAGCGTGATTTTCAGGAGGGTCGTCTTGAACGCGGCCATTTTGACACTAAGTTTGGCATTTTCATGCCTCGAAAATGGGTTACCGTTTTTGATTAATACCGCCCTCTCTTGACTTCCAAATCAATAAATACTGCCATCTATTGACCAGATAGGATAGGACAATCTGCTGATGCTTTTTGTTTCGTTTCAAACGGTCAAGAAATAAGGTTTTTACGGTAATTTTTGCCAAATTTTGCCAAATTTTGATCAAATTTGCCACTTTTTTCACAATTTAGATACAGAACATGGGGGGGATTCCTGTAAACCTATATCACTAAATTCCTTGTTCCTTTCTGAGTAAGAATATCTTGATTTTGTTCCTGCGTGTGCTTGCGGTCTGTAGGAATGTATTTGTTTAAAAGTCTAATGACATCGATGATATGTCGAATCGCCGCGCTGATGTTTGGCCAGCCCTTGACGCAGTTGATGATGATGCGCTGTCATGTTTGCACCAGTAACTCAGTGTTTTTTTACGAATGAAACTTGTACAAACGTCCATTCATGACCAAATGGACAATTCTTTGGTAACGGAATTACGGAATTTTGTCACTTTGTCAAGGATTATTCTTTCCCAAGAAAATATGTTCTATGCTAGGCAACTAATCTAAACATGGAAAGGGAGCCAAGACCCAATAGAATTGATTGACCGCTTAAAAAAAAAAAATTCCACAAGATTACCCTTTAAGGGGCGGAGCTTAATATCGGTAACGGAATTACGGACGGAGGACAAGCATATTTGAGTTCTTGCATAAATTAATAAAACTCTCTGAAGTTTTGAAATTTTAAAATTGGACACTACCTGTTATTTGTAGAGTTCAGGGGTGTTGTTAACTACAATGCAGAACAAAGTTGAAAAAATAATCACTCTTTTCATAATTTGCATTTTAATCACGGTAACGGAATTACGCCTGGGCGGTAACGGAATTACGCCATAGGTTTACATGTGATAGGTAAATGCAATACTTTTACATTGAATTCAACATAAACTCATCACAATACAAATTTTTGAAGTTTATAAAATGCCACAAGGGGAAAGCTAAGTGAAAATTAGCAGATCAAAATGTAAATGTAGGCCTAAACATGTCTGGGCTTCATTTTTTAGGTCAAAGGTCAAGGTCAAATGAAAGCAATATGTATATGTATATTTTTTTTTACTGAAAATCTAATTTTACTATGAACAAGTGTATTATCGTATTTCACTAGTTTATCGTGGAAAATACAATAAAACTGCACTGGTTGGCATCTCTGAGCAAGGAAAGATGTTAAGTTATGCCAAGTAGAAGTACAAGTACAGTCTGGTACTCAACTTTCATATATACTTGTTGTGGAATATATTTTCTGTGGGTACCAGACAACGGCTTTGGCAACACATATTTAAAGGGAATGTACATCATTGGCTTTTGCTGTAATTTTAAGAAATGAACTATTTGAGGGGTTAGTATAATAGATCAAATATTGTTACACTGACATGTTTGAAGTTTTGCGTTAAAAAATGCTGGAAAAACCAAGAAAAACAAAACTGTTCAAGTAGTCTGGTTCCCTGACTCCACTAAAGGTAAAATGGATCAATTTATAGATGCCGGAAAAATGGAGGATAAGGGAACCAGACTACCGGTAGCTGGCCTGCACCCGTTCATGAACATGTAACAAATAGCAAACAAAATTTGGACTGGAAAGAGTGTAAAGTTGGAGCAGTAGTTGAAAAGTAGTTAGGTTTTTCCAACGGTGGTCGGCCGACCACCGTTGGAAATGTATACAAAAATATCATTTTCTTGAAAATTACTTCACACCAGGTGCCATAATTTTACAGGATGCTTTAGACTGTCATTTACCAACATCCTAGTAAGGTATTTTGTAAAAACTTGGTAGTTTTATTTTCTGATGTTTGAAAATGTTGTATATTGCCTTTAAGCATCCAAACAACTATTAGCATTTTTTAAATAGTAAAAAAGAAAACGTAAAAGTAAAAAATATCAATGGAACACCTGATTATTTTTAATTATATAATAGCAAATTAAAGAGGGAACTGATTTAACAAGTAATTTAGTATTTAAAGTTATTGTCCAAGGTTACAAGCAAATCTCCTATTTAATAATATGTCATGTACATAATCTGGAGGAAATGTGCATACTTTGTGCATGCGTAATTCCGTTACCGTAATTCCGTTACCGTTTCGTAATTCCGTTACCACTTGGAAAAATGCCAAGAAATTACTATTTTAAAGTTTTTATTTTTCATTTATGTTTACAGTAGGGTCTTTTCTCAACATACATGATTTGAAGAAAAAAAACAAGAAAATTTGTGAAATAAGTAACTTTTGCCATTTTTTCGGTAACGGAATTACGTGCTAATTTTGACATTTTTAAATGAAGGCCTACACTATATATATATATATATTTATATTTTTAGAATTTTTTTTAATGACCCTGAGTAATGTTAGTAACTTGTAACATCATAAAATAAATCAAATCTTTTCCCTATAATTCAGAAAGTAATACATACACTAAATTTTATTTTTTTACCAAATCTGAACGTTTTTAATCATAAATTGCAAAAATCACTGTTTTGACCAGAAATATGTATTTTTTTTCAATTTCGTTTTTTGAACTGAATTCCCCATTTAATTGAGGTCAGGAAAAAGTACAAAAAAGGTTTAATATGTAAATATTTATTTTTGACATTTTTTGCTCTCCCATGGAGAATTGCCCAAATGTATTTCAGTTGATTTCAAAATTATTGTTTTAATTAAATAATAATAAAAAAATCATCATTTACATGATTAAAGGATTAATTTAATTACATCAGCAATAATAATGCATTTCCATTTGCTGCCGCAAAACTTGACTTGTAACCTTTGATGGGGGAGGGGTGGTAAGTGTGCAGTGAGACATAATTCTGGTGGGCTGGAGGCCGATTTTTTCTCCTTTTTTTTCAATTATTGGAGGAAAGGAAAATGTCTTAAAAAGGTGTGTCAATATTCCCTGTTTATTTTACACATAAATTAGTCTTTCTGGATTCATGCTTCATCACAAAAGGTCATGAGTGGATCTCCAGCACAAGCTGCAGGAAGATCTTCACAAATGAGACCTAATCATTGAAGATCAATAAGGTTACATTATAAATTCATCTTCCATCTAAATGCAGAAAAAGCGGGGGGGGGGGGGGGGGGGGGTCATAGGAATTGGGATGCTGAATGATGATATAAAGGGAATATCTGGAGGCATCACTTTCTCCTCAGTAGGTGCTGCTCCACCCTGGTTACAGAAATAAAAACACGCACACAATCAGAATAGTTTCACGAGTAATAATGGTGTGTTTCGGAAGATAACTTCTGAACGGAAGCACCTATGACAATGATGTTTGCACCATTGAATTTCTCTCATCGAAAGCTTTCATTTGATGTAAAGTTTGACTATATTTGAACCCAAACTGAAGAGTATGGTCGGTTCTAAGTTGACAAATACATTAACTCGAATGACGACCAGAAGAGTTCCAGGAGTATGGTGTCTTTGGGAGGACATAACTTCTGAACGGAAGCACTTATGACAATGTTGTTTGCACCATTGAATTTCTCCCATCGAGAGCTTTAATTTGATGTATAGTTTGGCCATATTTAACAAAAAATTAAAAATCATGTAATAATGCTACTTCATGAGAAGCTTAGAAGACAAGTGCATTCGCTGTACTTGGCACTTTTTGCAGGTTTGCATATCTATTACTCCTATCCATCCACGCCTCCAAGCAAAAACCTTGCTCCGGCGTGGCCCTGCATTCTATAGTTGCTCCGGGAGTGATGACACATGAGTACCGTGCACGGTGACATCGTTTTCGCCAGCCCTGTTTGCCCACTTACCTCATCCCCGGTCGGTCAACGTGGCCGTACCGTGCACGGTGACATCGTTTTGCCGGGCCTGTGCGCCCATTTGCCGCGCCGGTTGACGTGCCCGCGTGCCGGGCCCGGCCCGGCCCGGTCCTCGCGGCCCGGGCGGGGCGCACCGGCCCAACGCGGCGCCCTCTGTACATCGAGTATTGCCACAGATTTGTGCAACTTTTTCTGCTCCACGTGTATTCATATCCACTAAGTCGAGCAGTCTCAACGGTCGAGTTGTCCCAAGTCGAGTTGTCTCAACGGTCGACCTGTCTCAACGGTCGACCTGTCTCAACGGTCGAGTTGTCTCAACGGTCGACCTGTCCCGAGTCGAGTTGTCTCAACGGTCGACTTGTCTGACATTTCACGTGATAGCCCCACCATAGGCGATTGTGCCAGTAGCAAACTAGCATATAGTCGTGTTCCCTAACGTGGCGCACTTCGAAGCCTACCCGACTTTCCTCGTGTAGTGTTGCCAAACCTCTTTGTTGACAAACCTCAAATTCATGCAGTAAAACACAAGTACTTTTACCTTATTAATGCGTGCTATTTAACCTCTGTAAACAATTTCAGTTTCATAAAATTTAATCCAAAATTCAAAAACGGTGGCGTCCGGAAATTGGGCACAAATTGGCGGAGTGTTCCCTAACGTGGCGCACTTGAATAAATCTCGAAAAATTCCAATTTAACATTTAAGAATCTCAGTAAACTTGATAAATTCTGATAAACAATTATTATCTCTACTTACATGCCCAGCCAGATGTTTGTCAGAAAATTATTTTCTTATTTTTCGGGGCATTTTTAAAGGGTTCACTTTGCACTTGAAAATAAAATCGGAAAATCATGCCAAAATAAATTTAAGTAATCTGGCCATTGTTGCAGCGTAACTATGAATCAACGGATTTGTAAATTCGGTGCGCCGAAACTAGGAATTTCAATTTCGGTATCTCATATTTGTAAATCCGGTGAGGTACTGTCTCGTTCACGAACATAACATGGCACGGCCGGTAAAACAAGGATTATTTTCGTTACTATTTATTAATGGACGGCCACAAAAATGAAGTATTTGGTGTTAAAAAAATTTAAGTAGTTCGGTCAAGCAAAACTATTCTGAGACTGAATGATCACTAGTGCTTAGCCTTATAGTGGCCAGAGCAACGAACAGAGTCGGCCAATTCTCCACGCCGCCATGATGTACTACTAGACTTGTTGCCAGTCTGTGTACGGTACTAAAAAAAAAAGGAAAAGACGAAAACCGTGAAATTTCGCCGGTGCAACTGAGTATTAATTATACAGAAAACTTTCATCGGTTGGGGTGATCATAACATGTAGTTTTTTAAGCTTCAACCTGAAGATTAGTAGGCAAGCTTTCATCCACTCCTGTGGACTTCTCAAGCCAAGTGATTGTGTACTCAGTTTCTTGCTGTCTGTTGTCCCGAGATCACTGGAGCGTAGATCTCATGTAGGTGATAATGAGTAACCAGAGTCCCTATCCAGTGAGGGATTCATCCTTTGGATCCAGATGGATTCTTTCACCTTTCTTGGCCAGAAATGTGTTTCAAAGTCGATAATGTGGGCATTGTTCCATCCAATGTTGTGTCCAGTATTAAGGGTGTGTTCTGCAACTGCTGAAAGAGATGGATTGTTCAGTCTAAGAGCTCGTTTGTGTTCTTTCAATCTCTCCTTTAACCCTAACTCCCTAGGCCTTTTTGCTAGGATTTAGCCTCAATCCTGCAAAATCCTCCAATTGGCCTCATGGAAAAATAGCATATAGCCTCAATCCTGCAAATTCCTCCGTTATTTCTTGAATATGGTCCATGGAGGGATGACCACTGCCTGAATCCTGCAAAATCCTCTGGCTATGACTGTCAATAGGTTGAGGCAGAGGCAGTGACATCCTGGAGCAGTGCGGAGGATGTCGTGTATAACCAAGGACTAAATTTATGCACGGCTGAGCATAAACAACACAAGGTCTGGCCCAAGACCTTGACACAGTGCGTACTCCGAAATCAGCAACGCACTTTTGCCGTGTAACCTCAATCCTGCAAATTCCTCCAATTTGCAAAAAGGATTTTGGAGGATTCAGGGCGGTTAGTGTTAATGTTCTCCCTATTTCTCCAACGTAGGAACTGTCACAATCAGTGCAAGCTATCTTGTAGATAATACATGTTCTCTCATCTATGGGCGATTTGTCCTTTGGATGAACTAGCTTACTTCGAAGTAAGCTAGTTCATCCCAAGGACAAATCGCCCATCGACTTGTAGTATTAACGAGACTCGACTGCATATCATAAACCCGTTGGAGCCTGTTGGATTGAGCAGTAAACCCCTTGTTCAAATGTGTATACAAAATGTATGTACATTTTCAGAGTCGGATTCTTTTGGGTACTGCAAACGACGTCAAGTTGGATCCAGCAGGGTAGTCCTGAAGAACCCTAATAGGGGGTTAGTTAAAAGTAGCTACCGGTACTTAGGCCCATTGCAGTGTTCTGAACAATTTCTCTGGAATCTTCCTGCAATCAATTTAATCAGTGTAAAAACAATGCCGATTAATTCATTGCTCAGGGAGATTCTGGAGAAAGTGTTCAGAATCCAGCAACTACATCCCTGTTACAATGGGCCTGTGGGCTCTGGGCGCAGGTACCCCTCAATGGTAAGAAAAAGGAGAGTTGGGGGAGACCACTCGAAGAGACATTCAAACCCATTGACAACAACGCCTGAAACTCACGCGAAGACGCTATGGCTTTGTTGTGCACATTCAGAGTAAAGTAAGTCGTGCATACTTCGCGTTAACACGTGCGGAACCAGCACTCGCACACAGTTTGTCCAATCCACTTGGTTCTCAAAAGCGCCTTTCTTGTTCGCTCATGGAGCCCATTGCAGATAAACTTGTTCTCAACTTCTCTAAGATTTGTTTTGAGATGAGTCCCCATTCACCCCCTGCATTTGTCTGCATCTTTGCAGCTTTCAGGCTGGCCTTGGTGCAGATGGCTGTGTCTGCCAACAAGAAGGAGAATGTCACCAGGGCAGTGCGGCTCATCAAGGAAGCGGCTAGCGCTGGGGCTAAGCTCGTCGCATTACCGGTAAGACAACATTTAAAACGAAACAAGGAACCAGATTCATTTTGGAGTTACGAGCACAGAGCTAGCTGCAGACGGAAAGTTTTGATCACTTCAGATGTAGAGTTCGCATTCAAAGTACTGTCACAACAAAACTGAAATCGCCTCACACTTCTGCGCTATTAATTAATTTAGAGGGTTTAGGAAAATGCTTAAACCCTCCTAGTCTTTTGTACCATGCTTTTGACCGTAGAGTTGGCACACAGTTTGAGGTAATATTCTGTGGAGCCGAGATGTAGTCGAGTCCATCACAAGTCCAGTCACAAGTCCAGTCACAAGTCACAAGTCCAGTCACAAGTCCAGTCACAAGTCACAAGTCCAGTCACAAGTCACAAGTCCAGTCACAAGTCACAAGTACATTCACAAGTCACAAGTCCAGTCACAAGTCACAAGTCCAGTCACAAGTCACAAGTCCAGTCACATGTCCAGTCACAAGTCTAGTCATAAGTCATAAGTCCAGTCACAAGTCCAGTCACAAGTCACAAATCCAGTCACAAGTCACAAGTCCAGTCACAAGTCCGAAGTCCAGTCACAAGTCACAAGTCCAGTCACAAGTCACAAGTCCAGTCACAAGTCCTGTCTTTTCATCATATTTGTCTTCTCTCTGGCCCTTTGCCAACAGTGGCCTTTATAGCCTTGCTTGGGGCGATTTCCGTATTCAGAAACTTGTCCAGTCAAAAGTCCATCACAAGAAACAGTGGATGATCAACAACGAAGGAATGCCTTTGTCAAAGCTCATTTGAAGAGCTTGTGAGTTGAATTGGGACTGGAGGACTTGTGATGGACTTGCAGGGACTTGTGATAGACCTGACTATATACGTCCCTGATGTGGAGTATGGATAACACTTCAAAATCCTCCACAATTCTGTTTGTGTGGTTAAGGTGAGGGCAAGCACATGCTGATTCTGTCATGTTTCCTTGCTAGTGTAGCTCCACTGTGCTATATTATATGCAGTACTAAACTCTATGGCACTTCATAACCCTTCACACAAAGGGATAACGTGATTTTACTGACTTTTATTTACCCAGTAGGAGGATTGACCTATCGTTGTTTGCGAGTTAGCCACGCCCCTTAGACAACCCTATGGAATTTTTGTACGCTACGTTTTGTTTGTCTCGGATGTTGCGCGTTCCGCGTCCATTTGTGTATCATGTAATTGGACAATATTTCACAAGCTGAGTTGTCGCGATTCTAACGCAATTCTACCACAATACATGTATGTCCAGTAACCCTAACCCCCTTGAGTGAATTACTAGGAACCGTCCTCACTCTTGCAAATTCCAACACCATATGGCAAACTCAACACCCAAACAGTTGGACTCTGATCATGGTGGTATGCCTAACCCCATGTAAAGCATCATCAGTTTACTAGTGCAGTACTCACTCCAACAGAATCAACCAAACCTAATCTCCACTTTAGCAGAATATATCATTTAGTTTTTGCCTCAAGAAACAGGCCAATAGCGTGAATACATAAAGAGTAACATTTTAAGTTTTGGTGTGACGAAATTAGAACTCTTGGTTTTTGTAGCATTGTCAAGACAACCATCACTTGCAAATACATGGTAAATATCTTTAGTCTGCCCAAAGCAGTTCTTCTGCTGATCAGTTTCGGTACCGAAAGTAAGTTGTGAGCGCACATCATCACCAAGTTTCAGTGGATTGCTGCTTTCTTTGCAACAAACCTACATTTAACATTCAAATGGTTAATTCTGCATTTTTTCCTCCCTACTTTGTCCCGCCCCACCTTTCCCCGCCTCCACAGGAGTGTTTCAACTGCCCGTATGGCACCTCCTACTTCGCCGACTACTCAGAGAAGGTGCCCGGGGAATCCACGGAGGCCCTGGCCAAGGCTGCAGCCGACAACAAGGTCTACCTGATTGGAGGTTAGTGTGGGCCCGTGCATTCTTTCAAATAATTTAGTATTCGATTATTCCAACTTGGACTTCATCAATATTCAGATATTCAAATTTCAAAAGTTAAATATTCGCGAACCTACAGTTGCTGCCAATTTGGTTTTGCACGTGTTGGACTTGTCGAAAATTGACAGAGAGCTTATTAAAATAATAGGAAGAACAGGTGGGGGAATGGCTGATATTTTTCCGATTTTTTTCCCATGGAGGTGTGAAACACGCCGTAGGCTTGAGCTGCTTACATACATGTATATTGGTTGCAGGGGTGTGAAATCTCAGCTTTAAAGCTGATTTCAGCTTTTTGGGTTTTGGATTTCAGCTTTTTTCCCCTCACTTGCTGTGTACAAAAGTGTAGGAGATTTCCAAAGTTCAGCTTTTTTTGACACCTTTTTCATCTGTTTTCAGCTTTTTTTTATCAGTGGTCACTCACACCCCTGTGGTTGGTTGTTGGGTGGGTGCATTGATTGGTTGGTTGGTGGACACTTTACTCGGCCATATATTGTATTCATGCAACTCAAGTATTACAGCTTTGCAAGTATTACAGCTTTGCATTCGAAGACCAGTTTCGCAAACACTGTTGCGCATGCGTCTAATTTGCATACTTAGATCACGCCCCATTCCTTTTCATTTTCTGTATTCTTGAGGTACCGATACGGTCCGGGTGCACGTTACCCAGCCTTGTTGCTACCCGGCCGCCGTGGGTTGTACCACTTGGTACTTGTTAAGAAGGAACTTGAGCTATTAGTCCTTATAAAAGCTGTGGAATCATGCGCAAAAGTGCTTTCAACAAGAGTGTTCCATTTGACAACACAACTACCATAATTATATTCTGAAAGTGCACAAAGCCACAGCCATGACAGCGTCTTTGCTCCAGCGTCAGGCGTCGATCGGAAATGGGTTCCAATGTCTGTTCAAGTTGTAGAACGCCATGGTCCGGTGGTTACGGTGTTTGGCTCATGTACAATGGTGTGTGGGTTCGAACTGTACCAGTAACATGGCACAATTTTTATTTATGTTCAAGTGGTCATTTGAAAACACAAAAAAAATCACTGGTAACCAGTCACAGGTAGAATATGCACTACACTATAGTTTGCACTGGTAGCCTGGTCTTCATAAAGCCACATTTTTCTGTGATAAAGCCACATTTTTCTGTGATAAAGCCAAATTTAGACGCTTAGCCGTGCCATGAATTTGTTTATCCTTTGGATAGGTTCCATACCAGAGGAAGAGCAAGGGAAGTATTACAACACGTGTTCTGTCTTTGATCCGGAAGGGAACAACATCGCCAAATATAGAAAGGTACATGATGCCTATTGTCATAGTTTTGCACTGTCAGTGTGATCATATCTTAAAGGGGCACATCGTCCTGAAATCGCCAAAATTCTTTTTGTTTAAGATTGTTAACTTAGTGGAATGTCATGGCCGAGCAGTTAAGAGCACCGGACTCAAGCTCTGTGGTGTTTCTGATCAGCAGAGTGTGGCTTCGAGTCCTAGTCTTGACACTTGTGTCCTTAAGCAAGACACTTTTATTTGATACATCCCGTACGGCAACCTTGAACCGCTGTTGCAATTTGTTGGTATTTAGCGCAGTTAGGGTTAGATGTTGTTGTTGTTCTATTCCCTTGATTCACTTTCTTCTTTTGTTCTTTGCCTGCAGCTTCACCTGTTTGACATTGATGTTCCAGGTCGCATCACCTTCAAAGAGTCGGACGTGCTCTCCCCGGGAAACCAACTGGCAGTTATAGACACTCGTAAGTGCTGATGAAAAATCCATGTGTAATTTGCTAGACCTTTCATAGAAATTTCCTCTCATTGGTCTGACATTGCCGAACGGTCCAGTAAGTAAGCACGGTCGATATCAGAATTTTCAATTATCGATATATCGGAAATCCAGTATCAAGAATATTCGATACATCGACTATCCCATGTAAAGGTTAAAGACCATAAAGATGTCACTTTGATTAAAAACAAACAACACAATCTTAAATCTGAATTTTGCACAGCTTTCTCTGGAGCATATTGTTCAAACTTTTTCAAACAAATCTCAGCACTGAGTTTGTCCAGAACAGGCAGTTTCCTTTGAGGTTTTACATTGGAGTAATATCGATACATGTATATCGATGTTGCTTACTAGTAAGTGCAGTTGCACTGTACAGAGGCACCGAGCATTGATCTTAGCCCAATGCTGTGCATATTGTAAACATCAAACACACTATCTAGTTGTTGGCTGGTGAAGACAGCCGGGCAGTGTTATTGTATAGGATTACCCCTAACTCCCTATCATGATTTACTAGGAACCATACCCATCCTGGCAAATTCCAACACCATATGGGAAACTGTACAGGCATATTTCTGACTTTGATTCTAGAGGTGTGCCAAACCAATGTAAAAGACAGTCAGTTTAGGGGTACTTACAGATTCCAACAAAGTATGCCATTGGGGTTTGATGGGTTGAGTTCTGTTAGGGTTCATGGGCTGTATCTAGCCCATGTGTACACCAGACGCACGAAAAGACTCCAGTGGGTAGCCATTCTGAATCAATTGGATTGAATGTTTGTGGGTTTGGGCAAGCTTTAATTGACTTGCTTCGTCTTGTTTTGTAATAATGTGTTGATGCTTTCTTTTTGGCTGTTTCGGCAAACATGCCTAACCAGCCTTTGTTTTTTTTTCCTTTTTCAGTCATTTGAAAGTGGAAAAGGATGCGTACTTGCTTTTAACGATGTCAGTCTCTGGCTAGGTTGTACTTTACAAAAAAATTACCAGTGACGTCATAAAATATTAGAGCGCCCTCTAGCGGCAAGTTGAAAAATTTTACATGCCACGTGTCACAAAAAGTTGTCGAAACAGCCCTGTGTTTGTCCACAATCATAAGTCTGGTTTTCTTTCCTTTTCTTTTATGAATCGTGCAGCCTACTGCAAGATTGGCGTCGGTATTTGCTACGACATGAGGTTTGCAGAGCTTGCACAGATCTACAACAAGAAAGGTTTGTCCCGACCTGTCCGTCATTATAGGGCCCATGCAATATAAATGTTTTTATGCAATCCTTGAAAATGCAGCTTTGTGTCCCATTTAACCTTCAACATGGGGGCCTTTCGAGTAAATGGGTACAAAAGTGTGACATGGGATTGGGAAATGAAGCAGGATAATAATATCCAGTTGTTTGTCCTATTTTCCACTTGTACATTCCACCCCATTGTTGAGGATTGTGCTTTTAAAGAATTTAAGACTTTCCAGTCAAATTTGATGAGATATTTATACTCACGTACATGTACATGTATGTAACATGGACAGAAAGTTTGTCAAGGGATGGGTGAAGTTTTACTTGCAGTATTTTTAAACTTTCCAAGGACGACAGCATTATGAAGGGGTGAACTTCTCATTCCTACAAAATTCTCCAAAACTGATGGAAATGTTGGGTGGTTTTTTTTGGTGTCTTAGGTTGTAAACTATTGGTGTACCCTGGCGCGTTTAACATGACTACAGGCCCCGCCCACTGGGAACTGCTACAAAGAGGAAGGTAATATTCAAATCAAATTAGATCTATGTGAAGCATTATTGGGGACACTTTGTAGTCATTTCTGCATCCTTTTTAAGGCTACAGGTTTGGGTTTGTGCACATTTTCCTTTGGAAAGTATGTTTCAGTCAATTTTAAGAAGAAAGCACAAACCCTCAAACTTCACTCACGAAGCAGTAGTTAGCTGGATTCTTTTGAGTTGCAACCAAGTCCTCACAAGTTGCTTGTCATTTGACTTGTGATTGACTTGCACATTGAATTGTGATTCGACTTCTGATATGTCGTGTGATTTGACTTGCGAATTGAATTGTGAATTGACCTGTGATATGACTTGTGATTGACTTGCGAACCCAATTTGTGCTTTGACTTCTGATATGTCGTGTGATTTGACTTGCGAATTGAATTGTGATTTGACTTTGTGGTTTGACTTGTGATTTGACTTGTGATATGACTTGTGATTGACTTGCCAATTGAATTGTGATTTGACTTCTGATATGTCGTGTGATTTGACTTGTGATATGACTTGTGATTTGACTTGTGATATGACTTGTGGTTGACTTGCACATTGAATTGTGATTTGACTTCTGACATGTCATGTGATTTGAATTTGTGGTTTGACTTGTGATATGACTTGCGATTTGACTTGTGATATAACTTGTGATCGACTTGCAAATTGAACTGTGATTTGACTTCGTGATTTGACTTGTGATATGACTTGTGATTTTACTTGTAATTGAAAACAATTCTCGTTATTTGACTTCAGAGTTGATCTGTAAGTTGACTTTAGACTTGCTATTTGACTTGTGATTTGACTTTGTGCTTTGACTTGCAATTAAAAAAACAAATGTTGTTATTGATTTGCGGTATGACTTCAGAGTTGATCTGTTATTTGACGTAAGACTTGCTATTTGACTTGTGAATTGATATTACAGTTGGTTTCTGATTTGAAAGTTGGAAAAAATCACTCGGGTGGGACTCGAACCCTGCTTTCTAGTGCAGATGTCTTACCACTCGACCACCGAGCTAACGGGATCGGTTGGCCTGGGAATCTGATGTACATAGCAGCGGGTACCGCACAAACTATTTTCCAACTTTCACTCAGGATGTAACACACTGAGTATACAGTGTTTAAAAAAAACGTCGGTGAAGGGCAAAACCTAATTTGATTTATATCACCCCGACGCAAAATTCCATCTTATAATGATTTCTGATTTGACGTGTGATTTGACTCATGATGTAAAGTTTGAATTGACTTGTTATATAAATTGTCATTTGATCTGTAATTGACTTGATTACCACTCTTCTAGATTTGACCGTTTTTTTCACATACTTGTTCCCAGGGCTTTGGATAATCAGCTATACGTTGCCACAGTATCCCCAGCAAGGGACGCGTCAGCCTCCTACACGGCTTGGGGACACAGCACTGCCGTCAGCCCCTGGTAAGAAATACACCTGTTTTATAACACCCCACCCACAGATACTGTCTCTTGATTGGCTGAGAGCGAGTCCCATGGCATTCACTATTTTTACTACCTGGCTGTGCACAGCCAAAAAAACTATGCACTAGCTGCCACGGATTTAAAGATACAGTCCATCATTTGTTATTTGTGCATTTTGTTCGTTTGAAGCAACAAACATGCTCACAATCTAAAGAAGGGTGCTGAACAACTCACCTGACGAGCTTTCAGCTCAGCATCAGCTGTGTATTTCGAGAAAAACAGCATTCTAGGATCAAAAGTTGCTGAATCATGTTTTGAATTGGGCCTGAATTCAGCTTCCGAGACTCGTTCTCACTGAGCTGATTGTTGCACACCGATCCAACGAATTAAAGCAACCGTGCGTGCATGTGCAATGTGTCAACGCTTTTGTGTGCCCTGCTGAATAAAAAAAAGCGAACTACTACCGGAAATTTCCAATGGAGCGTCTTTGGAATTTGTACATCTTTTGCTATATTTCTGCAAGATTCCTGTAAATCTTGGTAGATTCCTGAATTTGTACTGGAAAGGTTTTTAAACGTATGCAATTTTTTTGTTACAAAAACAAAGAAATGAGTGTTTTAAGATATCTGTAGGCCAATACAAGCATATATTGTAGACTCTACATGTATGTAAAGCCCGGTTCATACTTTTCGCGAAAGCATGTGCGAAGCGAAATTCGTGTCGTCAACAATGGTGGACGCGCTTCAAATGTATTGTTGACGTCACGAATTTCGCTTCGCTTTCGCTTTCACGTGAAGTATGAACCGGGCTTTACTCTTGGTAACCCTCAAATGCCTTGCTGAAGGAAGACCATTTTCAAATAATTTAGTATTTGATCACTCGAAACTTAGTTTGACCGAATAATTGGATATCGAAACTACCAGCTGCAACTGCGTGCCAGTTAAAATTTGCGTGCGGCGATCCATGGAGTGTTTTGCAGTAAATATTCATAAATGTCAAGGGCTTTAACTTGCTAATAGGATGGGAACAATGAACCGCGGTTGACAAAAAAGTTGCCGTCGACAGAAAAAAGCGGCACCTGCCAATAAAACGCCGCAACTTTAAGATAAAGTTTTAAACCTCACAGTTGGTGTGTGTACGTGCAGTGTTTTTTTTTCCCGAATATTCGGTTGATGATCCACTGTTCAGGACAGCACTACTTTTCCTTGCCGAATATTTCATGGATATTTCGTTTTCCCCCAATCTCACCCAATGTAAATGCGACTGCTTCAGGGGAGAGGTCATAGCCACAGCCGAAGCCGAGGAGAAGATTGTCTACGCCGACATCGACCCGGGCTACGTGGACGAGGTCAGGTCACAGATTCCTGTCGGGTCACAGAAGAGGTCAGATCTCTATGAGGTCAAAGGTTAAACTTTGCCTTATATATTGTGAAGATGAGGTAAATGGGGATATGATTTCCTTTTGTCCTGAAAATTTGTCAGGAACGTTGGGTGTGTGTTGCCAAGATTTGGACACAGGCTGCATAATAGAATACTAAAATGGGGAGTGAAGAGTGTTCCCTGGAAATAATTTGGCAGACAGGCGACATTAGTTATCCAACGAGCGTCAGTGGAACAAGGAATAATGTAGTGCGTTTATGTACCTATACAATGAGGCCGAACATATAAAACAAAGAAGAACTACATTTGGACATGTTTCACGAGTGGGATGATAAATCTATCTTCAAGCAAACTTGACGCACAGCAACGATGAAACACGAACGCTTCACACAAACTTTTCAGTGGTTATCCTGTTACATGTCCGTGCAGCAGAAACAGCACGCGCAACTTAGAATAGCACAATACGCGGAGTGCAGTATGAACTGTTACTACTGGTATATGAGATAATATCCCACTGTTGTTGCCATGGATCGACCAATCAAGATCATGGATTCAAGTTTGCTTGGAAATAATGTTGCCATGGATTGACCAATCAAAATCAAGGATTCAAATTTGCTTGAAAACAATGTTGCCATGGATCGACCAATCAAGATCGAGGAAGTAGAAATATTTCATTTAAGTTTGCATGAAAATAATGTTGCCGTGGATCGACCAATCATATCAAGGATTCAAGTCTGCTTGGAAATAACGTTGCCATGGATTGACCAATCAAGATCAAGCATTGAAGTTGTTCATCATCTCCTGACGATGACTAGAGCAGGCTAGTCTAAACTATGAGACAACAGACAAGTTCTTTTAGAACTTAAAGCAGGACTGTTCTTATCAGAACTAAAACAACAATGTACTTAGCGAAAGTGGGTAAGGCCAAAAAAAAAAGTCTCCGGTTTCTGGTAAAAATGGCAAAATGGAAAAGTTTTTTTTTTCAATGAAAGATGATGTCTCAAAACCCCCAAACTCACTGGTTTGACTGGAATCCTGCTGCTGCACAATTTTAACGTGTTTTTAGATGGGGTTATGGTCGAGAATAATCTTTATGTGGCCTCTCTGGACTCCCATTTGCACTAAGTTTAGTCGATCACCATTTGCAGTCATCAGCCGACATTTGAAGCAAAAAAAATCAGGTACAAAAGAGAAAAAAAAGCCGCGCCGCCGCACCACTTTTTGGGCAAGCTCCATACCAGAAACCGGAGACTTTTTGGGGGGGCCTAATATAAAGCAGGACAAGTTCTTATCGGAACTAAATATCTACTGAGCGACAGTAGTGATTACCACACGGTAATAATACCGCAAACCGAACGTTACTGATTCAAGTTTGCTTGAAAAATGACGTTGCCATGGATCAACCAATCACGATCAAGGATTCAAGTTTGCTTGGAAAATATTTTGCCATGGATCGACCTGTCACTTGAGATCAAGGAATCAAGTTTGCTTGACGATTATAATTAACTGTACTATAAAATATTCAGGGATTTTCCAAAGAATTTTGCCCTTTTAAACTTATGTACGTATCATAAGTTTTATATTAATTTATTGTCTCAGGTGCATTTTTATATCCAATTTTAAATGCCTTATAACTATGTCTGATTAATAAGTGTCTCCCATTTAAATTGCCTTTATGTTTTAAACTTAAATGTACTCTTGGACTAGCGAAACTTTACGGATTTGTACAGGAACTTTTAAAATCCACGATCATTCTGAAAACTAATGGCCCATACACCCCTTTGGATGGAACTTGAATTGACATAAAGCCTCATTATATCCCCTTCAGTCACAACTTTTTTTCGACGGGTGACAAAATATATTTGGTACTTCCTAATTCCCCATTTTGCTTGCTGAACATAATGGTTTGGCACTTACATGTACATGTACTGTACATGCGGGGACGGTTTGCGCATCCTCGACGTCAATATTCTTGTACTGTACGTGCACTCCAATTAGACACGTCCAACCCAGCATATAATAATAAACATATGTGATGCGATCAAGCTAAAATTAATGAGTCGTTTGTCGACCCCGGTCTTTTTTTTTTACAGTTTTGAAAAGAGCACAATCTCAGCATTACGGATGCGAAAACCGCATGCTGATACCATTTTTTAGTTCAAAAATTATGGAAGTCGGAACACCAAGAGATGTGATGAAGTGGCCCTATTTTGGCCTGAATCTCCAAATGGAAGTTCCCGACAAACGACTCATTTTTTAATCGCCTCACATATGCATTGACACAATGACCACTCGTAAAGTGGTCATTTTCCCGCAAAGGGACTTGCCCATGAAGCGGATGACAGGCAGTGAAGCCGCCTCCCCTGCAAAGCAGGCGAGGCAAAGTCTGCTTGTAATACCTATTTGCTCGGGTGTTAAGAGATAGGTACTAGTCGTACTCTTTTGGCATAGCATTGTGTCCCTGAGCCATCATCTTTGTAGTTAGTGTTCTGCCTCAAATATTTCCTTAAATAAATATGGTCGCAACGAAGTGCTTGGATGTTCTGTGTGGTCACCTCTGCAGCGGCAAGCATTTTGGAAACTGTCACTTCTGATGCCAGAAGGGCCTCGTTGAATTTTTCAAGGCACTGGATGATAGGCATTGACGCAAACAAGCCAAGACCACATTTACCTGACGACAGGCATTTTACTAGCACCGCTAGCTTGATATGCAGTATTTTTTTCTTGGGCCAGAAGTATTTGTGGAGGACTGTCTTAGCATTCTCATGGAAGCTCCATCATTCTGTTCTTATGGAGCTTGCTCTTACGAAATTTCCTGAGAGAGCCACCGGTTCTAGTCAGCACTGCTGGAGCTTCTGCTCTGCTGCTTCAAATATTTCCCTAAATTTCTGGTCGCAATGAAATGCTTGGATATTCTTTGTGGTCACCTCTGCAGCAGCACGCATTCCAGAAACTGCCCCTTCTGATCTCTGAAGGGCCTCGTTGAATTTTTCAAGGCGCTGGATGATAGGCAAACAAGCCAAGAACACATTCATCTGACCACCAGCATTTACAGACGTTGCTAGCTTGATATGCAGTATTTTTCTTGGGCCAGAAGTATTTGTGGAGGACTTTCTTAGCACTCTCTTGGAAGCTCCATCATCCTGTCTCTAGGGAGCTTGCGCTTTCTGCATTTCCTGGGAAAGCCACAGGTTCTAGTTGTCACTTGTCACTGCTGGAGCTTCTGCTCTGCTGCCTCAAATATCTTAATGCAGCAAGCATTCCAGAAACTGTGGCCTCTGATCCCTGAAGGGCCTTGTTGAATTGTTTAAGGCACTGGATGATGTGCATTGACGCAAACAAGCCAAGAACATATTTACCTGACGACAGGCGTTTGCGATGGTTTTGGAATTTCCTAAATGTTCCCTTTCAGTTGTTAAACCCTGTTTTCTGCACAGCGGGCCGGCTAAGATTTTACAAGATGTCTGGGTTTCACCAGATGTCATTGAAGTCTTCCTGGACAGCCATCTCTTCAGATTGTCCTCGTCTTCAGCCCGCAACTGCAAAAAGTCTTGCAAAGTTAACATCTCAGGCATCCTTTCCATGGATTGCCAGCCCCTGATGTGCTAGATATTGCTGTTGGCAAATGATCTTCTTCACAAGTGTTTTATTGACTTTTCATGGTTTTGGAATTTCTCCAATTTTCACTCTCAGTTTTTGAACCCTGTTGTCACAAATGTGTCTTCTGCACTGCGGGCCCAGCTGAGAAAGTTTTTGTCCGGACGCATCACCAAAGTGAATCTATGGAAAGTCAATGGACCAACATTGTTGGAAATCCAACTTCTATCCAAAAACGCAGCGGGTCTTCATGTCTTAATTGGCTTCTCATTTAAAGAAAAGAAGATTGATACAAAATTAAGGACTATGTTTTAAAACAGTAAACGTTCAGTAAATAAACCATTTTGGGGCTGGTCTATATTTGATTCCTGGACATGGTTACAAAAGAAGGAAAAGGAAGCGTACCTGTATAAACGTTGGGTAGATTGGAATTATCATCCGCGACAACATCATTCTCTAGTATAGAGAAAGACGGCACTATATGCCTGCTGCTCTCCTTCTACAACTTGTCAGAGATGCGGGTGCCTCCTCCCAGCGTCAAAATAGTGATCTTAGAAGATTCTTCTTCTTGGGATGCTGCTGGTCTTGCGCATCGACGGCTCCTCCCCGGCCCGCGTGCAGCAGGACCTGCTGCCGCTGGCGTTTCCTCCGTAATTTAAAGAGGGAATGATGATACTACAATGCCCCGCCGCTGGATACAGGAATCCTCTTTTGGCGCTTTCACCGAACTTTGGTTTGGAAATCTTTTGTTGTTTTGGACATGCTTACAGATGAAATTATGAAAAAATGCCACTCTATTTTTCAAGGAACAGTTATGCAGTGCAATCTGAACTGTATCAAGTACCTAACTGTCCGAGAACTTCAGTGAGATTGAGAACAGCATGGACACTTGCCCGCTCGGATTGCAGATAAATAAGCAAAAGATGCTGTATCTTCATCATGTTGTCAAAACTATTCATGTCTGCCTCGTAGCCCATCTGAGACGGAGTTACCTCACAACTCCTCATGTCTCTTGCTAGATCCCATAAGGCAGCACCGTCGTTCTGCTTGAACAGCATCTACATTTAGGCAGCAGTCTGGATGTCTTAGGGGGAATATCAGCACTGTGAGTGGCATCCATGTTGGTTGCAAGTGTGGTCATCTGGGTGGGCTTGGACTTCATCTTAGGCTTTGCAGACTGGTTGACAGGAATATGTGCTCTTGCTATGTTTTGACCATACATTGCTGGCTATCTTGGCATTCTGCTTTAGGAACTCCGCCATATTGGCAAACTTGGGATCCCGTCCATACTCCCGTCATCGTCTGTGCCTTCTTTGCCCACTCAGATTGAAGACAAATAGGCAAAAGGTGCTGTATTTTGAGCATGTTGTCTGAATATTCATATCTGCCTCGTAGCCCATCTAGGACAGAGTTAGGCCTGGAGTCCTTAATAGTTTACTTGGCACACTTTTATATTTGATTTTCATGGCATAATACCTTCCAAAAAATTTGTTGCAATTGAAACGCAAGTTTATTCTTTAGTTTTAGGGGGAACAGACACGAGTAGAGAACGATACATTTCCATCGATTATGAGCACGACGCAATTCATACTGTAAATCGCCAAGACGGCTGTCAAGACGTTGCAGCAGTTGGGCTAGGGAGGTGTCAATGATGGAATTACATGTGACTGAAGATGGGGTGGGCGTGGCGGGGATGGTAGGAACTGGAGGGGTAGGAGGATAGTTAGACAAGGTAGGAATGGAGGATGGGGCTGGGGTTAGGGATAACTTGCTGCCTTCATGAGCTCGTTCAAGTTGGACAGCATACCTAACCGCATCATCTAATGTTTTTAGGCCCTGTTCATGAATTTTGAACTGGACATGCGGGTCAAGCCCGGCCACAAAGCGACGAAATTTTTCGCCATCTTGGGCAATTTTTCCGTAGTTCGGAAACGCCTCCAAGCACTGCCGTGTTATCACGCACGTTTGAAATTTCTGTATCGATAAATGTTTGACAAAGACTGACGCCAATGTTGACTTGACAGTGTCATAGTCTGCCTTAACGTCGTCGGACAAACTGTCCCACAGCGTAAAGGCGTTGCCACTCAGTTTGGCGGGGAGGAGGGAAGCTAGTTCAGGTTTGTTTGCGGAGGGGCTGGCATTAACGGCTACTTCTAGCCGGCGGCACCACACAGTAAAATCCTCCGTGCCGTTACTGGAAAACGGCAGTGTCCTCCTTTATAAGCTTCCTCAGCATGGGACCTAACATCCCAGTTTGAATACGCTGTGTCTCCTTGAGCTCCTCCAGTAGAGCGAAAACTTTGCCGAGAATGTCCACGGTACGAGAATTTGTCACTCCTATGCCGAGTAAAAATAATAAAAATAATTCTTTTTGAGCATGTTTGCATGACAAATTCTTTGGCTCTTTCTTTGATCTGTTGTACTCTGAACTAACATCATAGCACTAGCACTTTTTCGCCAGGTTTAAAGATGCGGACTTCAGATTTCTTGTCTGCTCTAGTCTTCCTGACCCGTTGAGACACCTTGAGCCACATAACAGGCTTTGGACAGCGTCTCCTTGAAGTTCAACACATAGTCGAGCAGATTGGTCTCATCCTCCTCTACCAAACACCTCTCCTTGATGAGTTTCAAAGCCCCCTTATCTCATGACCATAGACCAACTCCAACGGAGTTAAACCAGTTGACTCGTTTGCTGAGTCTCTCATGGCAAACAACAGAAAAGGGATTCCTTTGTCTCAATCTTCTGGGAAATCCTCGCAGTAGGCTCTCATATTCTTGAGGGTCTGGTGGTATCGCTTCAGAGCTCCGTGAGACTGCCGGTGATATAATTCTAGATCCTAGATCCCTCTGTGCAAATAATTTCAACTTTAGGAAATCTATGTTAACATTTCCTGTCCATTGTAATCATTGCATTGGTACAAATTGGACAGAAACTATGCCTTGCCAAAAAACTCATCACCAAATGAGTTATCAAATAAATCTAATAATACTTTTTGTGATGGCAAGGGGTCAATGACATTAGGGAACAGGTAGCTGGAGCTGATGAATACAAGTGGATGCACCTACTCACATCATCAAACTCTTCCTGGAAGAA